CTGAATAAGCCTCTACCATGATCTTCATTCAAAGACTTATGCCCAAAGCATTATCAATGGAAATACCTCCTGAATGAGGATTCCATGGCTCTTTGGCTCGCTCCTACAGACCGCGTGATTATGCGACATATTGCCCGAAACATACCATGATTACGTCCATGAATGAGTACAATTCTGAAGTTTATAAATCCGATCAAATTTTGACTGGAGAATATTTTTCTCGTCCTTCCATTTTCTAACTTGCCCCTGAAGCAGCAGTGTAGAAAGCGGAAGTTTACCACATTCTCGGATCTGATTACTACCACAAACATATGGTAGCATCAGGGCATGCTAAGGTGTGGCATCATGCCCGAAGCGTGATCCTTGGCACCTAAAACCTAAAACTTCAAGAATAAGGGATAATATTCCCGAACCTTAACCCTGCAGAATCTTCTTCCGTCTTGATGGAATAGATCATTGGTTATGCACCTATTCGTGCCCCTACCAATGTTGTTAAGGAGTACCATTCTAGTAGTCAATATGTAAGACTAATTTTTGCTCCACCAAACACCATTGGAAGAGCCGAGTTTTGACATGGATAGCCTTGTTGGCCGAATCCCTTAGTAAACCAGTTACTTTGTGAACATTTTTCCATGTTCTTGGATTCAAGTTTGGTGTATGTTTTACTTATGGATAATCTTATTGATATTGTCCTCGAATATGAGTTAATTGAATCATGTTTCTTACTACACGTGACCAATTTAATTAAACACGTGATTAGGTTGGAATGTGGGAAAGTTAGTTGTCTGGATGAATGTGTACTACACACACTAACTTTACATCTAAATCACATCTCTAACAATGACTTTAGGTTTATCCATCCAACCTGATTAAGAGCATTGGCACGCTCCTCGTTGTATGAATGGTACTGCATCACCATTTAAGGGACCTTAAATTCTCCCTGACGTTGAGTTTTTAAGGATATTCGAGATGACAATGATCATAAATGAAATCATCGAAGAAAATAGAGTGAAATATCTTTGCACCACCTCCAAAAATGAGCCTAAAGCTTTGATTTGGGCTAATGGGTTGTCTCCCAACTAGGAATACACCACATGTGGCCGGCCTAGAGCCTGGTGATTGAGCAGTTTACTTGCTTTGGCACGACCTTTTGGGACACTTAGGTCGAACGTTGGTGCTACAACGCATCTCCTTATTTGAAGTAAGGATATTGTGCCTACAAGCACACTTTGCCAAGCATGCTCATTAAGGAAATTGATTTTCTATATCATTCTTCGCAAAGATACGACATGACTCTCTTTTCACAGTGGATTCAAGGGAATATATGTGGACTAATCCAACCAAAATGCGGACCACATAAATACTTATGGTTTTGGTTGATGAATCGACAAACTGGTCATATGTTTGTCCACACACATTGCTGCTAAACCTCATGGCCAATTAAGGGCTCACCACCCTACTTATCCCTTAATGTCTGGGAGACTGGATAATGCCGGAGAGTTTATATCGATGGTTTTCGATAAAGTATTGCATGTGTTTTGGGTTTATAATTTGAACATCAAATTCCCATGTTCACCTCAAATAGTCTCGCTTAGCGATCATAAAGCGCAATTTAAATGATCGCCAGAATTTTGGTAAACGTATCAAGTTTTCGGTTTTTGCCTAAGGCTATGCAATCTTGTACGCAACTATATTGGTCCGCCTTGAGGCCCATTGCCACCCAACCTATATGACATTACATTTGGTTACTGGGTACGAACCTAACGATTTTTCATATTTACGCATTTGGGTGAGCATTCCATGTGCCAAGTTGCGCCGCCGCAATGTACCACCATGGGTCCTCAAAGAAGGATGTGTATCTTTTGTCGATCATGATTCTCCTTCACACTAACTTTCTTAGAGCCCTTGCATGCAATCTCTTTACCGCTCATTTGCGGGTTGTCACTTTAATGAGACAATCTTCCCGCCGTTAGGGGAAATAAGAACATTAACGTTCCTGTAGAACAGCGTGAATTTGCATGAATGTTACCCACTATGTCTCATCTCGATCCCCGTACCGCACATGTATGATAAGTAAGTGCGATGAATTATAGATTTCAGAATGTTGCTCCAGACACATTCCTCTGATCTAGCTAAAGTGCTGAGATCATATACCAGCTGCAAACGTGCCTGCAAGGATAGACGTACTTAATGGATGTCGAGTCAACATCCCTGGATGGTGTGTCACCCCCGTTGGACGATCTAGACGCCCTTGTTGGACAGTCCGGTACACCAGCGAATAGCTAATCAAAGGGTAATACTAAAGAGACTGATCATTTGCAACTTAATATTATGGTTTCTTAGTGTCATGCCAACCCTACATAACTAACCATGAAAAGGAAAATGAGGAGGAGGTTTGTTAGAGGACATGTCATGTTTTGCTTTTTCTTGATATTTTAGGATGACAATGGAATTGGATCCTATCCGGATCTATTTTGTAGAGATCTTAGGAATCTCCACATCTTAGTTATTCATCATGTATAATGCGGTCAAAAATTATTTGATTTTTTATTTAAAATTAAACACAAATAATATTTGATGTAAACTAACCATACGATATATGATGAACAATTAAAAGATAGAGATCTTTAGAATCCCTACAAAGTAAATCGGGAGATGATGCTCTTCCGACAAAGATTAACTCTGTCTGAATCCAAAACTTTATTAAAATTGTTTATGTTTTTGTTCCTGTCAATCAATCAATCTTTGAGATTATCTCCAGATTTTAGGTCATCTTATCTTATCTCCTCGTATAGATGAGTAGTCTTGTATAGATAGAAGGCTAGGCCTTGTTAGGTATAAGAGTAAGTAGGTTGGGAAGATACGTGATAGTGATACATCTTTCCACTAATTTTCTAAAAACTCAATGAGTATAAAAACTTTTGCCATTTAATAGTCCAGTTTAGTGGTGTTTTTTTTTTACTTGTAAATGAAAGGTCTTAGTTAGATTCAATTCTCGTCAAAGATGAAGGTGAACCATATTATTATAACAAGCTCATTGCAAGACTTAGTATACTTTCCTATCCCTTTAGTGTAAATATTATTATTTGTTAAAAAAAATAGTATAAAAGCATTTCACTTATTTAAATGAGGCCTTTTAGCCAAAATAGTATTTGAGATTTGTATAACTCTTCACTTTGGTACATGAAATTTGAAATCAATGGAAGTAGTCTCTGAGGTTGTCCACCATTAATCATTTTGGTACTTCCATGAAAAATCTTCATTAAATAAGGCTAAAATGACAACAATACCCTCAATTTTTGTCAAATCATTTGGTCCATTGTTCATTAAATTGAGGTATTTTTGTCATTTTGCTCCTTATTTAACATAATTTTTTAAGGGTCAAAATGATTGATGGTGGATAAACTCAGGAATCACTTCTATTGATTTCAAACCTCAGAGACCAAAGTGATAAGTTATGCAAATCTCAAGAACTATTTTGGCTAAAAAAACCTTTAAATGATGATCGTTAAATTCATAACATTATTTCAATGTTCACTTGATTAGTTTTCTTTTCTCAAACTTTATGGAATCATTTTTTTAAGTTTATCAAAAGTCACGCAACAACATACACATGTGGGTTGTTCTAATGTTACCTGCTTAATCATACATGTATAATGTAAGCAATAGTAGTGATAAGATTAGATAATTAGTCTCGTACGTATGTGTGACAGATCGTAACATGTTTAATCATTTGAATTTTAATGATAAAGATAAAATAAATAATACGAAGATTGACTTTTTAGTGTAAATATGTAGTTTTTTTGTTAAAACGAACAGTTTTTCGTTAAAATGGTTAAACCAAAGCGTTGATTCAATGTGATTATAATATTATTGTTGGCATATGGACATCCCTTATCTGTGGACGACCAAATCTAGTGTGAATCGATTTAACACGTCACAAATGCAATCTCCAAAAAGAGGTGAAGCAGGAATATAAAAATTTGAGAACCTTATCTTGTTCAAAGTATGTACTTGAAAGTTGCAACATTTCTGATCTCTCATTGCATTTGTGCTTGAAATAGTATGACAAAGTACCAACTAAGCTGTTAAACTATTAAAATGGAGTTCTAGACACGACTAATCAACCAAGTTATCGAGCTAAGATGGTGAATCCAATTTATGGCATTGCCATAACTTTTTAGTTTGATCCTTGATAATGAAAATCGACAAAAATAGTTTCTGAGTTTGGATACCATAAATCATTTTGATCATTTGGTGAAAAATCTGTTAATATCATCGTTAAATTCTTACGTGAACGACCAAGTAATCACTTTTAATGGTATTTTTGTCAAACTAGCTCATCATCTTAACGAGGATATTGGCAGTTTTTCACAGAATGACCAAATAATTTACAATGAACAAACTCATGGATCATTCATATTGATTTCATTATCAAGGACCAAAGTGAGCAGTTATGCCAACCTCAAACACCATTTTGGCTAAAAAGCCTCCAATTTATTGGTTCTGAGTTCACGAGAGCAATCTTGACCAAAAAATAGTTGGGCAATTAGCAAGAATGATTAATCTTTTAAGTTTGGTTCCAAAATGCTTATTTTTTAGTAACGACAACATATTGATCATATATTGATGACTTAACGATAAGATAACAACAACATAACGATGATACAATAAAGACATAATAAACACTAATTATTTATGCAACCAAATATAAAAAACTGAGCATTCTTGCTAATTGTCCAAAATAGTTCACAAGAACAACTTGTACGAAATGATTTTACCGCTAGGTGCGGTTTCTGTTTAGTAATAAGAATTATCAAGAATTATCAAGAATTATGTTGCATGTTCTTTTCTTTTTATTTGTTTCGTTACTTGACTATTGATGTAAAGAAAAAGAGAGAAAAAAATAAGGTAGCTGATTATTTTGCAAATTAATTGTCGAAATGATCAGTTCTAACATATCGTGGATATATCGTAGGTATATCTATAGTTTAAAGTTTAAAAATTAATATTTGACTTACCCAAATTTTTCCTTGTCGTGACCCTCTCCTATCCCTCCTTCCCATGGCCACTCAAGCTTTATCCTCTTCCACCACTACCAGACCTTTCTCTCCAGTTCTAAAGTTGCCCACTTTCTGAAACTCACCAAAACTAATTACCTATTTTGGCTTAGTCAGATGAAGCCGTTTCTTCTAGGTCATCATTTATTTGGCTACATGGATGGCACCCTTCCTATTCTTGACAAGGAGCCTGCTAAACCGAATCCGGCTTTCGCTACGTTGCTTCAGACGGATCGATTGGTTGTCAGTTGTTTGACTTCCACCATTTCCAGACCTATTTTGTCACTCATTGTTGGTAAAACCTCAACTCAAGTAATCTGGGAGTGTCTGTGGTGTCAACCTCTAGGACTTTCCAAAGGCTCCCGTTTCAACAAGCTAAGTTTATTAATGATTCTCTTGCTGCAATTAATCAACCTGTCTCTAGTAATGATTTGGTGACCTCTGTACTTAAAGGTCTTGGGGTTCAATGTTTATCACTGTTATTCTCAATTTTCCTCCCTTGCCAGAATTTCCTGACCTTTGCTCCCGTTTCCTGACCTTTGAGGCCCAAATGAGGACTAGACAGTAGCTCATGCTCTCCTTACTGTCATCTTTTGTGCTGCTACTCCTTCTCAACAACCCTTGCAGCCCGTGGCCCAACCTTTGCAGCCTAATGGCCCGCAGCACCCTACTACCTTCTAGGCCCAGCAACCTCGCAATAGGAATCCTGGTCATGGTGGCTACAACGAGCGCCTACGCGGCGGCTGGGGACATTGTGGTCACGGTCCTCGCAATGGTTGGTAGCCCAACCAATAGGGTTTAACCTAATAATCAACAAGGTATTCTTGGTGCTCGTCCTAGTTTTTGGTGTAATTTTTGTAACTCTCCTGGCCACAATATCTTTACTTGTCAGCATCGCCTAGCTCCTCCTTTTGTAGGCTATCGTGCATTTCTATCTGCTGTTTCTCATGATCCTATTTGGTATTTTGATACAGGAGCCACTCACCGCATGAGAAATAATGAAGCTGCACTCCAAGACCCATCTCCTTTTACTGGTAATAGTTCTGTTCTCGTAGGTAACAAAGCTTCACTTCCTATAACTCACACTGGCTCTCTTCCTTTTACCTTAGGTTCTTGTTAATTCAAATTAAATAATTTCTTTTATGTTCCTTCTTTCAAGAAAAGTTTTCTCTCTGCTTCTCAATTTACTAAAGATAATTTCGTCATTGTTACTATTCATCCTTTTGGTCAAGTAATTTATGACTTTTACATTGATTCTCCGTTGTTTCAGGGTCATTGTGAGGTTCATCTCTATCCCATGTCATCGTCTCATACGTAAGCCTTCCATGTTGCCTTGTTCTCCTTATCGCACTCTCGTCTTGGTCATCCGTCTTCCAAAGTTTTATCTAAATTGTTTTTAGGTTCTATGTCTCAATTAAATAAGGTATTTTGTAAGCCTTGTGCATTTAAGTCGCACATATAACCTTTTAATTCCAATAAAATTATTGCTCCTTTTTCGTTTTATTCAATTCATTTAGGTGTTTGGATGTCTTCTACTCTCTCTATCTAGTTTTTGTTATTATGTATTATTTATGGATGACTATAGCCGTTGCATTTGGATTTTTCCTGTGCGTGCTAAATTTGAAGTTTTCAGGCACTTTTAATCACTTTATAATATGGCGCGTAATGTATTTAACTCCGCCATTAGATTTATTCAAACCAATGGTGGTACGGAATACATCAATAATTCCTTTAAAATCTTCAGTCATCAAACTGGGATTGTTCACCGTTTCTCGTGTTCCCAAACCCCCGAACAAAGTGACCTTGTAAAAAGGAAAAACACCGTCGCATGTCCACTGTCACCCGTCTCTTCCTAAACACTACCAATGCCCTATCTTCCCTTTGGTCGAACCCGCCACCACCTTAATCATTAACCTTCTCCCATTCATGGTCCTTTATTGGTCTAGTCCCTATTTTTGTATTTTTGGTATTTGTGGAGTGAAAATTAATCCCGAAAATTCAGAACACGACAAGTTGCCTTTTTCCTAAACAAGACAAGGTTTCCCTCATTAAATGGGCAGGGCCAACAAATATTCCCGCACAGCTCAACATCTCTAGAGGATTTAGCAGTTGACTTTCACTACATCAAGCTCCCTTGCTCATGGCATGGAAAAGTCAAAGGCATTAATGATAGAATTAATCACCAAATCTGATCTTTAATATATTCTTGATTCAAGATTAACTCAACCAAGTAAGAAATCATCATCACAATTAATCAAGGATACTTACCTAGTAATCCTAAGATTTATCTCATAATTAATATCTTCGGGATAATTCTTTCCTACCTTCGGATGACACACCTTGACCAATAGGTGGCCAACATGTGTAGGGAAAAAACCCTAACCCTATGGCCAGCCACCTCCCTATAAATACTCCACCTACACCATTTTCTGGTAAGCTTTTGATGCACACTTATGCCCTAAACACTTTTTTTTTAAGTTACTAAATTAAGCATCAAAGATCCATTGACTAAACCCCATACCTCGTGGGTGCGTGAGGCTTTGGCCTTAATCAAAGGTATTTATTGTTTTGTAGGTACAAATTCATCAAGACTAAGACGGTCCATTTTTGCTACCAAGAATTGGTGCTTTCATTGAGAGCCTAATTTAAATACTCGAAAAATGCTCGAGCATTCATTCTTTGAATTTTTTTGTAATGTTGAATTTACTGTACGCTCCTAGTCATTGATTTTTTCTTAGAAAATTTCTAGATCAATCCTTGGGAAAGGATCTAATGGTATAAAATTCTGAAACCATGACGAACCGAACACCCTACGTCGAATACAGAATGGATGACAGAAACCAAGATGTGGCCTCACTTCGATGATCTTCACAGCTCAACATGATAGCAAGAGAAGCCCTACCGCGACAGCGCACCACCACCGTGCGCCCTACTAAACCTTAGGTTCCTAGACCAATTTCTAAGCTGGTTCAGCCAACCCAACTCCATGCCACTGAACCGACTCTGGTTCAGACCTAACTACCGCATCAACTGTCGGATTGGCGATTGAACTGGGATATTTTCACCCTATTTTTCAGTAGGTTTTCTTATCTGGCTTGAATTTTTCACCTGCAGCTCATTACAGTTCCACCACTTACAGAGATGCCCATCATCTGAGCTCTTATGCAACAAACGGCGATCAACACCTGCCTTTGTAGTTAACAAATTTGATAAGCACCTTCGTGTAGCAGACGACCTTGGTGAATCAGCTAATGGAGTACATCAAGAAGTAGCGTGCACCATACAAGGTGTCTTGAAGTAACACGAGAGCAGATGATCATTTGATTCTTTCCAGCAACGTCCCGGTAAGTAGAATGAGGGTAGAAGATTGTGTCGTTGGCAAAAATCAAAATAAAAAGGTTTTGTGGGCTAAAATTGTTGATAAGTTCAGCCTAACTCTAACACCAACCGAAGAGAAGGTGTTAGTGTTTATGATTGGTGGACGATTATCAACAAAGCATGCGCTTTATTGAAGGGAAGCTTGGAGAGATCCGTGGTTGACATGGCTAGTGGAAGGAGAGTCCAAGAAGTGGTAAGTGTCTCCCTTCATAGTTTATTTTTTATGTACACATTCTTATTTTGCAACTAATTGATCTTTATGTATTCCTTGCATAGGGTGACAAAGCAATGACGATTCACAAGAGAAGAACTAAGACCAAAAACTAAACTTTTAAGTTATATATACTTTGGACGCCGTCAATTACAGTCCAAGGCGAAAAACCAATGCAAACCAACAATGAGCAAAATTATTTGCTCATGAGGCATCAAACGTTATTGTTGGAAATCAAGTTGACCATTCGGTGACTCCATCTTCTTCTCTTTCAAGCCCCTTGGAAGAGATAAGGAAAAGGTGGAAGAGATAAGCAAAAGGAAGCATAGAAAAGGGAAGATGAAAGATCTGACTATTACAAAGCTTTGTTTTGAAGTTGAAAAATTTAGGTTGAGGGGAAACCAAGGAAGAAATGGTCCGAATGCGTTTGTTCTTTGAGAAGAGCAAGTGAAAAAAGGAAGATGCAAGGAACGGTTTAGAGAAAGAAAGCTTCGATTTTGAATAATGAGGGAGGACCTCAATAAATACACTCCAAATAGGAAGAAGTTCTTTCGTGATAAGTGTTGGGGGACTTTTAGGTCTAGGTGGACTTGAGCTTTGAGAACGTCCTTTTGTCTCCCTTGGTGCAGATTCACAACAAGTCCCACGATATCTCAAAATAGATAGTTTGTCTTAGGAAATACCCCAGTAACATCAACCGGCTCGAAGATAGCGTGAAAGATCAAGATAATGGCTTGCTTAAGTGAAGCGTGGTGTGAAAGCTAGAAGATTATCAGTTTACATGAGAGAGAAGGGATTTGCATGGTTGCATGACATTCTTTGCTGGATAATCTAGGCTTTCCTAAGGTGATACTAAGGTTTTTAATGGTTATGATGTTTGATGCAAAGCTATGGAAATTACTAAGGTTGCATGGATGGTGATGCCCAGGCTTGGACTATGCTTCTGGGCTAAGAGGAACTTTCTAGGCTTTTTCCTAGGTTGTTCTCTCTCACTACTTTTTCTCTATTTCTCTTATGTGTTCTTCCAATCCTCTCCTTATGTAAGTGAAGGCCTTTTCTCTAGGTTTCAAGGGAATATCCCTTTATGGCTTGGACTTCCCTTCCTTTCTCCCTAGCTATCCTATTATTCTCATTTTGGTGTAAACTAGCTACACTGTTGAGACCAGTAAAGTGCCCTTTCCCAAGACATGGCTTTCTGCATGCGCTAAATCTGGTAACACGCTTTATGGCTTTTGCGTATTGGCTGTCTATGCAAGTTGGGAAGGGAAAGTCAGTATTAAATGCCTGACTTGCTGGGCTTAGCATGTATTTAATGCAAGAATCTAGCTTAATCCTAACTAAGGGTGTTAGCTTGCTAGGGAAAAGAGGTAAACTAGGCTAATTCTCTCTCAATGATGCCTACGGGAAATACAAAGGGTATGGGCTTGGATCCTTGGGCTCCTAAGCAACCCAAAGTTTTCCATGACCTTGATTCCACATAGGCCTGATAACCTTTCGTAACCATCCACACCATAATCTACTTGACAAGCCCGGAATACGTGACTTGGGCTTAGCATGAATTGTGGCTAAGGAAGTATAGCGTGATGAAGAAGCATGAGCATGGCTTAAATATCCAGTTTAAACATTGTGGCATGGCATGTTGGTAAATATATTCCTCGTCCATCTTGCACCTTGGCATGTGTTTGGGCTTGAATGTAGGCTTTGCATGACAATTGGGCCATGAGACTTGGTTGGATTGGTGTGGGATATTTTTAGGCCCCAAAATTAGCTCCTTTGATTATTTTGGCTATGACAAACTTTGAGTGGGTTGAATAATCAACCCCAGGCCCAATGGATTCTCTTGTTTAAACATGGGCATCCTGATGTGACTTTTCCTCTTCCCATATGGCAGCAGATAAATCTCTGCCATTGTGTTCCCTTGCTTCCTGTGCATGTCCAATCATATGGAGAAACTTTGGGCATTCCCCCACCTACACTTGGTAACCATTACAAACTACTCTTCTTCCTAAGACAAGTATTTAATTTGTCCTTGCTCTTCCTCTCATCCTTTAATAATCCTTCATTCTTCAAATTTTTCACAACTTCCTTTCTCTCCAAATTCTTCTATGCCTTCTGCGTTGGGTTGTGTTTTCTTGTTCATGCTTTTAGTGCTCTACGACAAGGCTTTACTCAGGTAAGGAAATCTTTCCCTTGACCCATTTTTTGAATTTTTCTTCTCCTTTTGTCTTCTCTATTTGTCATGGTGATGGAATTAGGCATGCATCTCTCCTTTTGATCTTGTGTTTCAAAGATTTTAGGGTTTGAACATGGATGCATAAGAGGTGAGGGTCCTTCTTTCGGGAAATCAAACTCCACTTCTGGGGTAGTTTTACAGCTTCAAAATCATGTGCATTTGCCCTCTGTGATTTCTTTTTTACTTTCCATGTATACTATGCAATTGTCATTTAGCCTAGCTTTTTTGCATGTTAGTGCATGCTTGAGTGGGATTGATTGATCAGTTGCATTGATCTGGTTGGCATGATTAGCTTGACTGCATATATAACCTATTTTTGCTTAAGTACACATATAGCATACTTTTCCTGGCTAAATCTTTTAGGGCTTTGATAGCATGGCATATGTAGGGAAAGATGCATGTGTTTTGTGTGAAAGCATGTAGGGAAAATAGTCCCATGTTAATGTCTTCGACTTTTGCATGAAAGACTTTGAATGTTATGAACGTACCCTTTTGCTTTCCCAGGGTGTGCCTAGTTGCTTTCCTAGGGTAGATTCCTTGTCGTACATCACTTTGCATGCTTATATATTTCTTCCTACATGTTACATTGGCTTATAGTATCTATGGTTTGATGCTTGCTTTCCATAGGTGCGTTATGACTGCGGAATCACCAAAGTGCTTAACTGCAGTGGATGAGTCTTTCATTA